GTTTCGCCCTCCACGACCAGCTCTTCTACCTCAACGCCCTGGAGTGGGCGGCCAGCTCCGTGGAGGTGATGGCTGTGGCCGCCAAGAACGTGGCCCTGCTGGCTTACAACCGCTGGTACCAGGACCTAGACAAGATTGACCAAAAGGATTTGATGCACAAGGTGAAGACTGAGCTGTGAGCGCCCCCGGGGAGAGCCCGGGAGGTCCGTCCCTGGTGAAGATGGGTCACAGCGCCCCCCAGCGGCCACGGCCGGGCAGGCTGCGCTCTCCTGCCAGGCCTCTTTGAGGCCCCTCGTGTGTCAAGCTGCTTCTTCCAGCGTGGGTCCAGGCGGCCCACTCTCTGCCTCTCTATCTTAAGGACTTTCACAGTGTTTGCTTCTTTTTAAGGGGGAGAATGAGAGAAGGGAAGGAAATTCAAGCCCATGTATTCATTTTATTTATTTTTTTTTTAAAGAAGAAATAAAAAGCCACCCTTCCAGCTGCTTCTGATTTGGTTTTCTAATTAGAACACGGGGATAATCGGGAAGAAATATGGGGAAGTAACTACAAATCAGGTTTCTTTATTGTTTTTCCCAAAATGCACGACGTGAGGCAATACCTGCAGTGAAATACAGGTACCAGATGGTTACAAATAAAGTAGAAGTAAGATCAGAAAGCCTAAGATAATGATCCTATCTCCCATGTACTGTGGGCTTGCTAGATGTGAGGTACCGAGCTGCGAACTTGCTAGACACCACCCAAGCCTCTCAACACATGGGTTATGGGGAGACGTGACTGTGGTAGGACCCAAGGAAGAGATGGTTACCTCAGTGGAGCTGTCAGTATAGCTCTGAGCTTCCTGGCTACCAGTGGAAAAAGGGAAATACACCAGGCCGTAGGAAGAGGAAAACTTTTCCTCAGTACCTGGAAGAGTTGACCGTTCTGTCTATTACGCAAGGGTCATACGGTGGACCTTTCTTGCAAGAATACAAGTTCCTAGGTGACAGAGGGTGGTCCTACCTCACCCACAAACAGTTGCCCTAGCAGAGGAAAGGAAAAGGTGTCAGGATGGAGTTCCTCTAAGGTTAAGCCAAGGCCGATGCCCAAGTCCCACCCAGACTTGATAAATATGACTCTGGGGGAGGGCCCAGAAACCGAGGGGACACAACACTGCCAGGCGGCACTGGTACTGTGGCTTTCCTTTTTTTTTTTTTTTTTTTTAATTTAAAAAAAAATTTTAAATTTTATTTATTTCTGAGAGAAAGAGAAAGAGACAGCATGAGCAGGGGAGGATCAGAGAGAGAGAGACACGGAATCTGAAGCAGGCTCCATGCTCTGAGCTAGCTGTGAGCACAGAGCCTGAGGCAGGGCTCGAACCCATGAATCCTGAGATTCATGAGAGTCCGACTTGAGCCGAAGTCGGACACTTAACCGACTAAGCCACCCAGGTGCCCCATGTATTGTGGCTTTCCTAACAGGAATAACCCCAGAGATCACCCAGTGCACTTCCCTCTTTCTGTAGAGATGGCGGGAACAGCCCAGCATGAGGAAATAGCTGAGGTCTCTCGGTGAGTTCCTAGAGTTTGAATCTGGAGCTTCTGGCTAAAATTAATTGAATTCAGCGTGGGGCAAAATATTCTTCACCTAGATGGAGGCCCAAATTGGCTTTGAAGTTGTTTTTGCTATGCCAAGGTGACAGTAGTGGCAGAGGAAAAGATGGTGCCTTTAAAGTGCACGTAGCCTGTACCTGTCAGGTATCATAGGAATTATGAAGCCGGGCACATCGGTAAGAATGCCTGTGGTTGAAGTAGTAGAAAACCAACCTTAACCTGGCTTATGCAATAAAAAGGTTTTATTGGTGATGAGAGTCTAGGCACAGGGCACAGGGCAGGCACCAGCTCCGTGCTGTGACAGCGCCATTTCTCCTCTCCTGGTCAAGGATGGCTGCCACCCATGTCCAGGGCAAGAGGTCTGTCACAACTGTGAACCAGAGTGGGCTCTGGGCCGGCTGGATCCCTGCTAAACCAATTCTCTGTGACAAGCAAATGCCACGTGCTGATTGGTTTTAAGACTCAGCTGCTGGACCAGTAATCAGGACACAGGGACTGAGATGAAGCTGATTGGCTTAGAACAGTCCGGCCCCTCCCCTGGAGCAGATTACAAGTTTGGAGACGTGGCAAGGGTGTTTCAGAGGCACATTTCAACCACATGCGGGATGGGGCTGTTCCTCCCCTTCTCAATGCTACTGCAATCAATATGTAATGACAACCTTTCGTGATCTGTGTTTGAAATGATGCCATGGGCTGTCCTACTGTAACTGATGATTGTTGGCATTGGGCCAGAGGACCCAGGCCAGTTTCAAACTTGTCCCTGATAACCATCCCTCCCTTGCATCCCTAAGGATGTGTGCACAGAAGAGGCAAACCAGGACAGTTACGTCTGATCCCCTGTCCTCGGCTGAGGCTTTGGCTGGTTCTTCAGAAACTTCTTTCACCTGGGTAGACAGGCCTGAACAGCTCAGAACCGAAGCGGGCCAAGTTGCCCATGCTGACGGCTGGCCTGCTTCCCCGAGCCCCAACCTGAGGGCTGGATCTCACCACCTCTCTGCCTGCAAGGAAGAGCCAGAGATTCCTGAAGATAGGAGAAGGGATCATGGGTTCCAGCAGGAAGCTTTGGCCCTAGGGCCCACCCTAGCCTTCTCAGACCAGGACAGAAGCCCCCAAGGGCCCACAGCCCTCTGGGAGAAGAGAGAGCATTTACAGAGACAGAGCCTCATAATCTGCCAGACAGAGCAGGAAGGAAGCCACTCATCCGCAGTAGTCCTGGGGCGGTGTGGCGGACGTCTAAAACTCTTTGCAGCGTCTCCATCCCTAGAGCAGGAGACTCTACGCTTGGGGGTGTGGGAGGCTGTGGAGGATAGAGCTGGAGGTGGCTAAGGAATGGCAGGGGCCAGAGGAATGCCTTGCTCCCCACCCACCTTTGACGGAGGCAGCAGGAGCTGGGGCAAACCTTGGGCTCCCCCTAGAGGCCTCTGTGCATGCGTGCGTGCATGCATTCACGCACCCAGCCCTGCACCCTCTTTTGCACTGGACCCCGTGCTGAGTCCTGGAGAGGCAGCGCTAAAGGAGGCAGATCAGTCCCCTGTGCTCATGGAGTGGGGGTTTCTCACCCAATGGCGCAAAATATAAATCACACATAGACTTATACCAAAGGAGGTTCCTGGGCCCAGTGTAGACCCAGCTCTCTTCTTGGACCTCCAAAGGTCCTGAGCTCCCTGCTGCTGCCTTTAAACTGGGGGCCTAGAAAGGGCCAACTGCCAGCCCAGGCTCGTAAGGCCACGTTCCCAAGCCGCAGGATGGTAACACTGGAAAAGACCCCGAGGATCCGAAATGCCATCTGCCTGTTTCACAGACAAGAATACTGAAGCCCCAAAAGTTAGGGAAAAGCACCACCCATATAAAACTAAGCGGCACTTACGGAGGATCTCTGTGTGTCTGGTGCTCCGGTACAGCCTGGCCCACCAGGCTGAGGAGTCGCCCCGCCCAGTCCCTAGGCTCCAGGGAACCCAGGGTCTCCCAGGACTAGACCGGCTGTCCTGCAGCTCAGTTCTTCCCACGCCCGCACCCCACAACGAGGCCTTGACGCCGTGGGTCCCTCGTGTGCCGCCAAAGTCTTACTAAATCCTGGAGAGGGGGCTGTGGGTCCTCCGAGACTAAACCCGGGGGGGTGGGGGTGGGGGGGCAGAGCAGTGGCTGGAGGCATCGGCTTGGGCTGACACATGAAGTCTATTTTCCATGTGCCCGGAACCAGGCCAAAGCTTCCTGGGGTAATTTTAACCAGTATCCACTCTAGAACAATACCAAAAAAGGTAAGTTGCTTACCACCCCAGACAGGCTCATACCTAATCATTGCCCTTTCATGAATGAGACTCTTAAAACATTCAGAGCTCTCAGACTGCTTTAGGCACTGAAGGTAGAGTAGCCAAGCCAAGTGTCCCTACGCTGGCTGTTGGCCCTCTTGTTGAAATTAACCCTGAAGTGCCGGCTATTCTTAACCTCACAAAGCAGCCTGAGCCCCTCAGCTGTCTTGGGGGAGGGAAGGTATTTTTAGACCCTAGAACAGCTGGTTTAGGACTAGCTGCGGGGGCTTGTAGGTCAGGGGGAGGATTGAATTGCAAGGAGGTAATGGGGGGGTGCAAGGACTTATCCGGGGGCAGGAACGAGCAGGCGCTTTAGGACAAGGCAGGCCACACTGCCTTTTCGATCGGCGGAGTATCTTGATATAAATCGTCGGTGGTTCTCCAAGGGTGGCCCCCGGATGTGCAGTTATCACCGGGGAGCCACTGTATTAGAAATGCGAAGTCTCAGCTCTTACCAAGAGACTGGATCAGAACCGCTGCATGTGGGGCCCAGGAATCTGTATTTTAACAAGTGCCCCAGGCGATTCGGGGGGGCTGGCTAAAGTTTGAGGACCACTGGTATCAGCAAACCATCTAACCAGATCCCCTTACACATATGGCAGGAGGAAAGAATGATCTACACTGGTACTTCCCACCTCCTGAGTATTTGTTCAAAGCAAGGGATCCCAGCCTGGAAAAATCCATACCCACATGAACGTGTCAGGGGCTGACTGGCCCAGGTGAAACCCTCCCCCGCCTGCACTCTCTGGCAACCCAGAGTCTCTTCTCTGCGTCTAGGGCTGACCTGCAGAGGATCTCAGAGCTGAAAGAGACCTCGGTCACTTACTCTGCTCCACAGTACCCATAGAGCTTCAGCATTAGCCGGACTTTCCCAGAAACAGGAAGCTCACCGCTTCCCTAAGAGCTTGCTTGCAACTGACCTTGACTTTGGGGGAGAGATGGTGCTTGTTCACTCCTATATAGGTTTCTATCAACCAAGCTCCAATAACAGGGCTGAAATAGGCTTATAAACCCAAATCAAAGGAAGTATGTGACTGCCCTAAATGGTAGAAGCAAACGCAGTATTTTTAAAATAACTATGTCAGTGCTGGAGAACTCTGAGTGATGGCGCATCCCTTTTTATTGATCCGAAATCTGCAGCCCAGCAGCCTCCCATCTCCACCCTGGTTTTGGCTTCTGAGCCCCAAGGAGCAAACCCAAAGTCTTGCTTTACAAAAGACAGCATTTACATTTCATTGGCCTGGCCTGGCTCACGTGTGGGGGAGCGCCGGGAGGGTGGTCCCCAGGGCCACCCGCAGGCTCTGGTTCAGAAGATGCAGGTGCAGCCCACCGCAATGGTCTCCATGACTGCGCGCTGGCGGCAGGGCCCGGTGCGGGGTGGCAGCGGGCAGAGGCGGCGGCGCACGGGCACCTGGCTGAACACTGGCACGCTCACCATGCTGCGATCCTCCTGCATGGTGAAGGGGTTCACGCAGCCCAGACACAGGCACCGCGCCTCAGGCAGGTCGGCGGGGATGCGGCTCGGGTCATGGTTGATGCTGCAAGAAGCCAGGAGAAAGCACGGAGTGGAAGGTGGTGCAGGGAGGGCGAATCAGTCCCAGGCCCCACACCCCTTCATTTCCCAACTGGCGTTTTCATTCCCACAGCAAGACTGTGTGCTACGCTGGGGGTGGGCAGTAAGTAATTAACTGCACGTTCCAGGAGAGAAAACTGAACATCTAGGAAGGCAAGCCAGCCCCAAGGTTATCCAGGCTCAAGGTCACAAGCCAGTCACCCAGCTCCCTTCTTTCATCCACGAGTTGCCCATCCCAGTACTAGATTCTGCTGTGGGATTGTCAAGAAGCTAAGGCCTTCTCCGTCTCCCCCACCCACCGCGTGTGTATGTTCTTGGGAAACTTCATCTGTGGGAAGCAATATATGAGCACATGGATGCTGAATCCTCATTAGAAGAGGAGTCAGGAGGGTTCTATTCTGACTTCGTTTCTATTTATTCAACACATATTTTTCTGAGACCCACCATGTGAGCCTGTCCTGGACATCAGGTGTTCACCAGTGGGCAACACAGAGAAGTGCCCTCCTACACCTGAGAGTACAGGGACTTGTTCTGTGACCTTGCTTTCTCTGTGCCTCAGTTTCCTCATCTGCTAATTGGAAGGGAGGGAGCTTGACTGCGGACTGGGAGCATCAGCATCACCAAGAGCTTGTTAGAAATGCAGAATCTCACCCCACCCCAGACCTCCTGGATCAAAACCTGCATTTTTATAAGGCCTCCCGCCAAAATCAAGGTCACAGCAAACTTTGAAGTCCAGCTTTGAGCCTTCCAATTGCCACATTCCAGATATGGTAGCCACTGGTAGCCATGTGGCTATTTCAATTTCAGTTCATCAGAATGAGTCAACTCTCCCTCAATGAAAATAAATACATTTAAAATAAATAAAATACTCACAATTAGGTCCTTAGCTACACTAGTTAGGTTTCAAGGGCTCAATAGCCACATAAGGCTAGTGTTAGACTTTATATCATCCCAGAAAAGTTATGTTCTTCTAGAATTTCAGGACCTAAGCTGTGCACCTAAAAAAATCTCTGGCCTGATTTGTGAGCGAGGACCCTTCAAGGTTAGCCGATTTCTTCACTGTTCATTCAACACACATACATTCAGCCCCTACTGCATGCCAAGTTCTGTGCTTAGAAGTAGCGCTATGACCGAGGTAAGACACGGACCCCGTAATCTAAGGACAGCGGGTCTTGGTTCCCAAAGCTGGCCATGCACCCCCCGATCACGTGGCGATGTGTGAAATATCACTTTCTGGGCCTCTTCCTGGAGATTTTGATGGAGGGGGCACAAGAGTTCTTAGATGACTCTGATGCGGACACTGGGAAGGTGCCAGTCGTGAGAGACAGATGTGGACACAGCAATCAATACCTCCGGTGGGCGCTGTGACTCGGAGGCGGCACAAGGCACGCGAGGTGGAGGGAGGAGAGCCTTGCAGGTACTTCAACGGGAACGTAGGGAGCACTCATGCCAGGGCTCGGCGCGGATAGCTCATTGAATATCAAGCCTGTAAACCCTACGGAGCTTGAACTACTATCACCTCCACTACGCTGAGGAAACTGAGGCTCGGAGAGGCTGAGCTTGCCCAAAGCCACGCAGCCTGTAGGAAGCAAGCCAGGGTTCAAAGCCAGGCACTCAGGACTCCGAATCCAAGGTCTAACTCTTACAGTGGTGGGGACAGCGGGCATGGTTCCCTCCCTCCTCGCCCCCCCCCCCCCCCCCCCCCCCCCCCCAGCTCACCCCTTGGCTGCCCAGCCCAGCCTACCTGTAACCCCAGGGCGACAGGCTTCTCTTGTTGGACAGCCACAGCTGCAGGTTGACCTCGCACTTCCTCCTGGCCGGCTCGGAGCTGTTCCTCAGCTGGGCCACCATCTCCCCGAGGTTCCGCTCGTACTCCTCCATGCGGGCGTATGGCTTCGCCTGTGACACCAGGTCCAGGGGCACCTGGTGAGGCCCAGGAGCCAGGGTTCCAGGCCGCCCTGGCCCCTTCCTCTTGCCTTTGGGGTTCCTGGGCTGGCCCGGCCCCAGGAAGATGGAGATGGTGAGGAGGAACAGCTGGGAAAGAAGACCACACATCAAAGGGAGGAGAGCCGGCTCTCCCTCTGGGCCAAGACTCAAGGCTCAGGGAAGAGAGAGGGAAGAGAGGCTTCAGGGGGGCCACCCCCACCGGCCGGGCCACCACACGTGTACCACATGCACACGTGTGTGTACCACAGTCATCGCCAAGTCCTGTCTGTAGCACCTCTTCAAAATCTCCCCACCCTTCCACTTCTCTGTCTCCGCAGCCATCTTCACTTCCCTCAACAGCCTCCTACCTGCCCTCCCCACATCCCCCTGTCTCCTTCAATCTGTCCCCCACACCATGGCCAAGGACAGCTGCTTGCAATGCCACTCTGATGTTACCCTCCAGCTTCACTGTTCACCCCTGCTCTGCCGCGTGGTCTGACCCCTGCTGAGCTCCACCTCCTCAAATCTCACCGACTTCCTCTCACACCTGCGCTGCAGCCTCTGCCCTTCTCTGAAGCCCTTCCTCCCACAGTGCTCCTTCCTGCCACAGGGACTTTGCACAGGCTGCTACCCGCAGAGTCCCGCCTCCCTCGTTTTTGAAATGCCTCTTACCCCTCAACCCCTTGTCTCAGCCCAGTGTCACGTCCTTTGAGGTGCCTCAGTGGACCTTTCGGGGCTCTCAACAGCACACGCCCCTTGCATACCCGCAGACTTAGAGTTTGTGTGTGTGGCTCTGTTATGCGTCCCTCTCCAACTGAGCATAGACTCCACACGGGCATACTGTCTCATCCCTGGTGACCGAGTCAGTGAACAGCCATCACCTTCCCTGCCCTTCTGTAGCTTATAGTCTCAGAGAGGGAGCCGACAGTGGACAAGCAACAAGCACCTAAATCTCTAGCGATGGATGTGATGATGAAGCCGGCTGCCTGTGGCTAGAGATCAGGGCCACCCCCTTAGCAGCAGCGGAGTGGTCCCCCAAGGCCTTTCTGGGGAGTGGGCATGTAGGTGAGGTTTGAAGAATAAGAGGGAGGCAGATGGGGGCAGAGGGAGTCTAAATATCTCACGGGGGGTGGGTAGGGGGGATGAGCAAAGGTTTGCGTTGGTGAAGAGCTTCACTGGGGAAACCGTGAGTCTGAAATAGAGTGTGGGGGTGGGGGGGATGGAGCTGGGGAGACGGGCAGGTCGCGGCTGCGGATCCCTATTGGACTCCATGATACCTGTGCCCCCCTCGTCCACGCCCAACCCTCCGCCTGCCCCCCACCCCCTCCACGCCTCACCCACCCGTGTCCAACCTCACCCACCACCATCCACTTCCTCTCATAGAACCGGGAGCGTCAGGAAAGGCTCTGGCTCATTCAGGAGAAGCCCCTGGAGCCGGGCGGGAGCCGACTCGCCAGCGAGCCAGCGAGAGAAGGGCCAGGACTTGGGTGGGGCTCAGGGCTCGCCAGAAAGGAGGAATCTTGGGGGGGGAGGGGAGGGGGGAGTCATCTCGTCCCTGAATCTAACCAGGTTCCCACCTGCCATGGACCACTCACCTCAGTACCTGCACAGCCCACGCCCGACCCTGGCCCTCTCCAGCCTGCCCAGCCAGCCTCGACCCTTGGAAATAAGTGTCAGCCCCTCCTGGCAGCATCGCTGGCTGGCACAAAATCCACCAAAGAGATTCAAGTCGCTCAGTTCTTCCTTTGGGTCCTGGATTCCAGTGCAGGGAAATGCCTCCTGAACAATCGGCCTTCTCATCTGAGCGTCTCACAGTGGCGTTCCTGAAGCCTGGCCCTCCACTCCAAGAAACCCAGAACAGAACCAAAGTCCTCCCCCACCCCTCCCCAGGAAACAGAAACAAAAGGACTTGCCCAAGGTCACACAGCCTGGGTCTCAGGACCCAGGGACTCTTTGGACACCCCCCTGCCCCCCGCAGCCCCGATAAAGGAGTTTGCCAGGCTCTCCCCCAGCCCCGACAGCTTCGGCCTGAAAGAGCTTCACTGTGGACTGGCTGAGCCCAGTTCAGGAGCCTGAGCTGTTGGCCATGGCCGCGGGCTCTGAGACCAGTCTCTGTGTCTTTCTCGCCCTGGGGGAGACAGCAGAGGGAGGGCCGGCCTCTGCGGAGTCCAAGCCAAACAGAGGCAGCCATTAATCAATAGGAAAGAAGTAAGGAAACACTCGGGCCCTGACACGGGGTGGGGGTGGGGAGGGGTGGGGAAGCGCCACGTACCAGGTTGTGCGGCCAGTCCATCCCGCGAGCCCGGCGGTCGGCCTGCAGCTGCCGCCCGGCCTGCGGTCCCAGATGCCTCCGCCAAGAGAATGGCAGCAACAGGATGGAGCGAAGCAATTATAGCTCGTCAGGGGGCTGCTGGGGGGTGGCTGGGTGGGCTCGTCATCAGCTGGGAGCCTCGGGCCCCCAGCTGGCTGGGCCTGGCGTGGGGGCCGGCCAGGAGCCGGCCGAGGTGCCCAGGGGCTGTTGACTGAGGGACAATGCCCTGTGTGTCTGGCGGGGCCCTGGCGGGTGGCACCTCCGCCTGTGGCCTGCGGCTAGCCACCCGGCCAGCACCCACAGGGCCAGCTAAGACAATCCCCTTCGTTTGCTTTGGGGATGGCAAGGGGGTGAGGGTGGAGGAGGGACGGGCTGTCCGTTGGTCAGGAGAGCAAATGTTCTCCAGTGTGCCAGCCAGGAGCGGGACGCGGGCCCCATCTCCCCGGGAAACAGCCCCAGGCGCCCCGGCCTCAGCCAGCCTCAGGTGAGTTCAACCTCCTCCCCACCCCCTACCCCGCCTCGGGATGAGAGCCCCACCCACCTAGTTAGCTCACAGGAAGGGAAACTGAGGCCAGAGCAAGGAAGGGACTTGTCTAGGATTACACAGCGATGACATGGCTGGGATCCACACCTGGTCCCTGTGCAGTCCTCCACCCCCCACCCCATTCTGTTTGTCTTGGGATATTTTCTGCACGATTCCGGCCTGCCGTGAACATGTTTCTGAATCCGTGCTCTTGCGCTGGCCGTGTCGCGGTTCCTGAGGACTTGGTGGCTGGCTTCCCCACGCAGCGGCCCCCGCTCCGTGCAGAGGGTCTCCCATCCAGGGGCCTGCCACTGTGCAGCTGTCTGTGACCTTGACTCATTCTCCGCCTCGGTCTCCTTCTCTGTAAAATGGGAGTCATGTGCAGGAATCGACAGTCACCTGGCCCATTTCTTTCTCAAATCTTTGTGTGTCTCACTTCCCACCTCTCTAGAATGGGGGTAATCACAGTGGCCCCTCCTTGAGGCTGTTAAAAGAAGTAAAGGAAATAAACCATGTCTAACAGCTGACACGGTACCTGCCATGTAGTAAGGGTTCAATAAACACTTAGCTGCTTATGGTGAAGATGACTGTTATGAAATAATCATATAGTTGTTATTAGAAACATTAGCGGTTCTAATTAGCATGGTTCTCATTGTTCAGCCAACCCTCCTTCCCTCCCCCTTAGGGCCACCCTCCTGAGAGAGAGCTCTGGGCTTCACAGGCTCTGGCCACAATGTGGTGAGCTCGGGTGACCCCAGGATCCCACCCTGAACTGACCAGCCCCGAGGGCCGAGGCCCGTCACCTCAGGCGAGCAGCCCAGCCCCATGTGGGGGAGTCTGTCCACCCAGGGAGGCGGGGGAGGGCTGGGAGGGAGCGTGCAGAGGACAGGGAGGCACAGTGTGCAGCATCTTGCCGAGGGCCACTTCTGGCCATTTACAGGAATGGCTGAGGGAGAGGACGCGGGTGCGACGCGCTCCTGAATGTCACAAGATTAATCTGTCCAGGGCAGGTTTCCACAGCATAACTGAGAAACCGGCTGAGGCTGGAGCTGATGGAGAGATACCACCATATTTGGTCAAATACTAGACAGGACTCTATTCTATCGCTGGAAACTCCAGAGGGAGGGGGACTCCGAAAATACCTCCTCAGGCAGCAAGGGCCCCCACTCCGGCTCTGGGCAGCCTCAGCCCCGCCGCCACTGTCCTCTGAGCAAGGGAGCAGCCAGCGTGAGGGGGTGAGCATGGGAGCAGCCTCCCAGCTACCCCTCTGCTGCGGCTGGCAAGGGGTCCGACGACCCGCATGCAGCTGGGGTGACCCCACCCCCACCCCGGCAGCCACAGCAAGGGAAACTAGAAGACAGGGACTGGGCCACCACGGGGTGTCGATGCTTCTCAGGACCCCTGAACCCACCACACCCTCCTACCTGCTGGCCAGGCGCACCCTTGCTTCTGTATCTCAAAGGCAGGACTTAGCTTCCTTACCTTCCAGCTCCTGCGCTCGGCAGTATAGCTTCCAGGGTCCTGGCCTCCGACAGAGCAGGCCCAGGAGTCTGTACCCGACAAGGAGCCACCTGCGGGCTACGGGAGTCCTCACCCACCATCTTCTCATTCCCCCACCCAACGTCCACTTTAGCACAGGAGACGGAGGCCAGGGCGGGGGTGTCCTCACCCTAGCGGACATGGCCTGTTGGGGCCAGAGCCCCACGAGGCTGGTTAGGGCACGCCTCGGTCTCTTAATTATTACTGCTCTTCCCCCAAAGTTTATACCTACAGCCCTGCGCCCCGGCTGGGGCCCCAGACTCCTCCTCCCAGTGGGAAGGAGGATCTGTGAGGTACCCAGGGAAGGTGCTTCAGGGAGTCAAGGATGGACCCAGTGACCATCACTGGGTTTCCCATGCCTGGGCCAGCTCGGGCCTGGAAAGATGTCCCTTTCACCAGTCTAGGTTTCTAGAAACCACTGAAGGGGCATCTGTCCTGTGAACCCTGGTAGACCACTATAGGACCCAACCCAGGCCTGAGAGGGAGGTATAAGAACTTGGGGTTCCTGGGTTCACAGCAAAGTTGGGAGTCGTTAGGCTTTTGTCACGGAAGGTGGTTGGCAATGGTGAATGAGGGAAGGTGCTGATGTGCTGGAGAGGGAGAGGCAGGGGGTGGTCTTGCCCAGAGCCACGAGAGAGCCCTTTGGCTGCAGTCTGCCATGAACTGTGCCATGCTCACCACCAGGTGGCGCCACCAGAAAACCGGACAACCCTGCAGAGAGCCGCAGGCCCTGAGGGAGCCTCACACCCACTACCCCTTTTCCCTGGAATGGGCCCTGGCATTGAAAATGAGGGGACCAGGTGATGGGGTGTGGGTGCTGTGTCTGTCCCTGGCAGCCCAAGCGACCTACTGTTAGGGTCCAGCGCCGAGGCACCTCCCCCGTCACTGCAGGAATGGCACAGCCACCGAGTGAGGAGGCAGGGATGGAGTGGAGGCCTCTGTCTGCCCTGTGAGTGATTCCCTTCACTTGGAGCATCTACTAGGTGTTTGTCACCTAGACCTGAGAATTTTCAGAAAGTAACAATTAGTAATTGTTCCTAATAATAGCTACTGCTTACTACCTTCTTACTGACTGCCAGACACTGTGCTAAGTCCCTCGTGTTCGTCATTTCATTACATCTTCCCAGCCACCCTGTGGTGAGGTCCTAATTGTATCCCTTATCTACAGATGGGGAAACTGAGGCTCAGGGAACCCAAAGTCACAGGGTTCAAAGCAAGCTTGTCTGAGTCCCGTACATGCTGTTCCCTGCAGTCGGGTAAAGAAAGGAGGGTCACGGCCAGGAGAGGAGGGGGGATGACCGACCGGTCATTGAGGAGGAGCTAGGCTTGCCTCAGCCTTGCCCCGACGTCCTCAACAAACCGGACCATGAGTGCTGGGGAGGTCACTGAGCCCAGGCGCAAACCAGAGTCCTCAAGGGGATCTGAGAGCTCCCAGGGTGTGAGCAAGACGCCCAGCAATGTTCCTGGCACATCCTAGGCATTCGCGAAATATTTGATGCGTTGACTCAAAGCAGCTATCTGGAAGATGGGGTGTTAATGCTGGAACGGAGAACAGGAGGCCGGAGCAGCAGGGACCTATAGGAAGAAGTATATAGCCCAAGAGTAAGGGTTCAGGCTCTAGAGATTGACAGACCTGAGTTTTAATCCTGCCTCTACCAGTTCACAGCTATGTGACCTTGGGACAGCCCCTTGACCTCTCTGAGCCTTAGTTTCCTCTGCACAGTGGAGATAATAAGAACCTGGCTTGGATAGAATACTGTGAGGCTTAAATGAGATAATGCATGTTGAAATACTTAGCCGAGCGCCTGACGAAAAGTAAATGCTCAATTAAAGGTAGCTGGCGATTGTCACTGCCATTGTTAAAACGGGGTCTGATTCGGGCCTTCAAGGACGCTTCTGGAGCGTTGCTCGGGTGGGAACAAAGATAGAACACGCAGAAGAAGGCAGAGGCCCCGTTTCCAGAGGGCTCGTCCTAGAGCAAGAAGGACCTGCAGGATTCAGTCGAAAGACGTGCCCAAGTGAGCCCAGTACGGTCGGGGGGGGGGGGGGGGGGGGGG